CTGTTAATGCTGGTAATATTTTCTGATAAGGAGTTCCACCTTAAATAGTGCCTGAATGCCTCAGCGGCCTGAGGCACCAGAATGTACCTGCTGCACCATTTAAGGTGGAACGTTTGATAAAGGTGGAAAATTTGAACGAGAAGCTTTGTGTGATTTAAGATATCAATATATCCTACCTACAGTTTTGTGCAAAGCTCTGCCCTTATACAGCTGAGTGATAAGCTGAACTCTATAAGTAACCTTTGATACTAAGTTCACAGTTATAAATATCAAAATCTGAAAGAGAGTTCAGTACACAGATTTATCCTGGGTTTGTTGATATTCGATAATGCAGCTTCTAGTTACCTCAGATGGAGGCATTGGAGTCCACCTTACCCCGAGACCGAGACAAGACCAAGTCTCAATGAGGTCAAGACCAAGGCGAGACGAGACCGAGACCCTTAGTTTATGGTCTTGAGACTGCTCTCGAGACCAAGACTGAACTCCAATAAAACCCAATTGACATTGTAAGCCTGACAACCTAACCAAAATATCGCACACAAACCAGCGAGCTTTGTCAGATGTTGTGGTGTAAAGGCTTTGGCAGTAGTAGACTACAGTTTGAGTAGCTGGTGTTATTTAATAGTGTTAACATAGCTTATAGTTACAGTAGTAGCCTTACTTTCACTTAACTTGGTGTTGTCAGTTAAATGTACAGGAGTGTAAGCTGATCAGCTTTGGAACACTTTTTTTTTTTTCCACAGAGTGCAATAGGTTTGATTTTTAAAAACGTGTTGGACGTTACATCGGCATTAGTTTATTCAACGCTGTATATATGACCTTTATCCCCTGATAGCCCCTGAGAAGGTCAAAGCTCAACAATTGCCTGGCCCCTCCCACCCTCCCATTAGAGCCATCAGAAAGCTGTCAAGACTCCACCAAGGGTGAGATTGAAATCGATTGTTTCACCCTTCCTCAATTACACTCAATGGAGCTATTGACTCTGGCTTTTTCTCTTTCTCGCAATCTATCTGGATTCTTTCTTGGTGGGCAGGTGTGTGTTTGTGTGTGTGTGTGTTTTGTCTGCCTCGCTTCTTCAACCTGATGGCTTCATCAGAGCGCTCTCTTATCTATTAAATGAAACAAGGACGTGTGGTTAAAGCATGGAAACTGCTGACTCGGTGTGCACGCTAAAAATGACAGCTTCATTCATTATTTGACTTTTTCAAATCCACTATCACAATTCTTACACCCTGATCAGTACACCAGCCAGACAACATCTAGAAGTTACTATTTATACTATTTATATCTTTTGTGTGTGTCTTATTGCTATTTACTGTTTTACTTTATTTTTTACTTACAAAATGTTGATGTATATTTGGCAGTACACTTAACAGATGGCACAGCACCACTTTATCTTTTCCAGTACCAATATCAATACAGAAACCATGGATATTGGCCAATATTTGTGGTTTCTTCTTTAAAGATTACCACACTTTAAAATATGGTATTTTTAGTTGAAGCATTTTTACCATTACCTTTTTCATTTATACAGTATTGTTCAAACAGTGTTCAAGAAATCAAAACATTACTCCATTTAACGCTCTGTATCATTTCTTTCCTTTGTTGTGTAATGTTGCCTCAGTGTAACATAACCCCATACTTCCTCCTGCATGTATAATGAAAAAAAACATTTTAGTTATCAGGCTCATTTTATGCAGGAAAAGTGAATTGAACATTTTTTTTAGACATTGCTCTCCTAATGCATGCAATAGATGAAAAGAAATCAGGTGTTAGATGACTTTAAAAAATGATTCTAACATGGTAGTCCTGTGCAATTTTTAGCGTTCAAATATTAGTAGCTGTAAATAACAATGAATTGTATTATTATTTAAATCGGAGATGTGTCCAGAATGATGAACAGAGCTGTAGATGATTCTAAAAGGACTGAGAAATCACTGAGCTGAATAGCATAGAAAACGAAGTTATAATAAAGTTATCTAGAATGTAAAGTAATTTATGCTTTACTTATGATTAACATGTGCTTGCGTGTATATTTATACACATAATGAGCCGTAACATAGCTAATTTGTCACGGTTTGACATAACTGAGCAACTGTCATTTTCATTTAAGTATAGCTAAAAGTAGCTAGGATTCCTTATGTTCACCAGGGCTTTAATAACAGTTTTAAAAAGAGTATGAGATGCCTGGAGTATATTTCACTCAGCGCTCAACAGTACTCTTCACAACTACTGTCCTTACCAGCTGAGCTGACCGGTTTGATTCGAAATCTTGTGCAACGTGTGTGCATTATGGGGCAAACATGAACATGTTAAAAGGGGATTCTACAGATTTTTCTAAATTTCTGCATCACTAAATGCTAGTGATGTAAAAGTCATTCAGAGGGGTTAGATGTGAAATGCTCTGTCCTAGAGAAATTTAGCAGAACTGCTAAAAAACAGTGGTGATGATAGGAATGAGGTGTCTGAATACTTTATTGCCTCTAAAATCTCCCTCATAAGAGGCGACTACATGAAAATGGCACATGATGCCTGAGATATTGTTTTACATTAGTTCTGAAATAAGGCTTTAGACTAAAATGTATTTTTAAACCCATTGGTGAAGAGGTAGGTTCATGTGTATGTGTTGGTTCTCTGGTTGTTTTGGATGGGAATAAAATTGTTATATTTGCATCGTATACATTGGGACTGCTGTTCCTATCAATACCACTGCAAAGAGGCCTGAGTTGGTAAGTTTCACTACAATGAACCACTTCACATGAAACACTCAGAATGACTTTGTTTACATCTCAATAATTGAATTAAGCAGGAGTTTTGCTAAAAAAAAATGTGGAATTTCCTATTAACATTAACATACAAACTCAGGCCACATTTTCAGGCACTCCATATTTTTCCTGTGTCTAAAAATGTTTTGTGTATTGTTTTACACTTAATGCTTTTATATTAAGTTGTGTCCTTTTTTTTAAATGTATGATTGTGTATATGTGTCTTTGAGGGGCTTATAGATAAGTGTATAAATAAGACACAGCAAAGATGAAGCTGGACTGTAAACTTTCTGTTTATTCCTCCAGCCTGTGGATCAGCTCTGAGTGTCCTGACCTGTCCATCATCAGGCCATGCCCACAGTCACCAGACAAAGAGACATCATCCTTCTGTCAGATAGAAACACAAACACGCACTAGCATGCTGTTCTCACATACATACACCCACACACACACACCTCACTCATTCACACAAACACACACACAACACACACACACACACACACACCTCACTCATTCACACAAACACACACACACACACACACACACACACACACATATCCCTCTGTATAAATGACACATGGTCACATCTGATTGAGTGGAAAACTCTGTAAACTCTAGTTGTCCATTCAGGGCTTGGATGTGCGATGATGGACAGGTCTGTCTGATGTCCCCCTCTGACTTTGAAGCTTGTCCTGCCTTGACAGATAAGGGAGTTTTTTCCTTCACTCAGAACGAAACGTGAATTCCTTCGTGACACGTATTCCATATTCCCAGGGAAATCTTTCCATTTGTCCTTTATTCCGAATCACAGAGGGTGAGATAGGAGGAAGAAGAAGGGGGCAATCACTCATTCTTTCACCCCCCTAATCAGTGCTCAGCAGCATTCAGTTTTTTTTCTTTTTTGCAGCCTCCATTGACAATAGAACAGTACAGAGGCAAACTGGACAGTAAAGTAACATGATTTCAGCAAGCAAAAGAAATAAAATAAAAAGAATCAATGAAATGCATGAATAGGAAATGTGAACAAATTCAAATACCAAGTGAAATCTCTTTCAGCCTTCACACTCTTTGCACGGGTTGATAACTGATAAGTGTGTGTGTGTAAATGAATGAATTCAAAAATAGGAAACTGCATGCACACGTAAAAGCAGTAATGATGTAGAGTATATAAAAAAACATTTTAAAATGCTTTAAACCCCCCCCCCAAAAAAAAACAAACATACACGCCACTTTGTCTCTCACACACAGCAAGGCTAAGCCCTTGAATTGGTAAATTATAAATGATAAGACAACACATTATTGAATCCATCTAACAGAATCATCTCTGTGCTTATGGATAATATAGTTCAGAATTAGCCAGAGGGCTTCAATCCAGAGGAAGGCAACAGGTCAGGATAAACCCAGTGCCGGGCAAACCTGTGGGTTAGCTCTAAATCACCACCATATTAGAAACAAACACCATAGAAATGGCATGGAAAGGAAGAGGGGAAAAACTAGTACAGTACTATGCAAAAGTCAGAAACCAATGACTTCCAGTCAAAACAGCCATTCTGTACATGTTCCATTTTAAGGGAGACAGGAGTTTCTAAAACTGTTAAAAGATTATTATTATTAAAAGATACAGAGGAAATGGGACTCATAACAACCATGCAAGAGCTGGTAGACCAACAAAAGTGTCACCATCAAATAAACAGTACTGAAAGTACTGACTCTTTGAGAGAGAGGAGAAAATCAAGCTCCAGTCTTGCTTCAGATCTATCCACAGGTGTATCTGTTAATCCTTCTACTGTGAGAAGAAAAACACTATGGGTCTGAAAGGATGTGCAGCTTGTCAAGATGTCCTCACTGAGAAACAAAAACAGACTAAAAAGACAATTTTGCAAATCAAAGAAAGAATCTGCTGATGTTCTCAGAACCATGGACTAGCCACTTCCAGACTTTAACATTATTAAATGTGTTTGCAATTATTCACATCGCGAGAAGCAGGAAATGCAACTTCTAAGACTGAAGTTTGGAGGTGTGGAAAAATAAATAATAAAAACAAAAGTGTGGGCACACTAAATACTGATGAAATGTGATATTTTCAATGTATTTTTTTTTGTAAATGTGTTCTGTTTTTTTCTTGATGCTAACAAGTTTTACTTAATGGCCATTTTGACTGGTTTTTACGTAAATGAAGGATGATCTCTGACTTTTGCACATTACTGTATATAGTTTATATATAGTCACTGTCATATCAAAACTTCATTACTGCATTTTTTCTGGTTTGAAAATGCCAGCTGCCCTTACATGGAGTTGCTTTGTAAAAAATGTACAAGTTTAAACCGTTTTGTCCAAGACGTACAAGATTTTAATGTGACAGCAACTGTATTGTTGCTGTCTTATAATAACCTTGCAATCCTATTTTTATTTTTTATGATTTTTTTTACACCATTTGAAAACAGCAGCTGCCCTTTATACTGTTTAAACATTTTATGATGAATGGGCCAATAGGAACGGTCCAAAACTGGCAACAAATCTTAATACATTAACACATATTATCGTTTTTTGTCCTTCTACTGCAAAGTTACTGTTTTCAGAGATACAAGGTTTTCTTAGGACAGTGATGATACATATATTTTGAAACTGAAGGTACCTGCTTGTGGCACTCAAAAATTATATAAAAACAAAGTTTTTTTTTCCTTACCATAAAAAGATCTACTTAAAAATTTAAGATATGAATCGTAATTTGAGTTCACTGATGACCTAAAACACTCAACCCTGTTCACTGATTACTGATATGAACTGATGCTTTTCTTTGGGCAGGCTGTTCTTTCCAAGCTTTATGGATAGATGAGACTGACCAATGGCCAGCAGGGGGAGCCCATGCTCCTAAACTGGGCCAATCAGAGAGCAGATCACTAAAACGTCCACAGATGCATGGAGATCCAATCCTGATAGGCGGCGTACACACACGCACGCACACACACACACATACACACCAATGTGAGTTTCCGCTGAATGTGGTCACTACTTTTATGTCCAAATACTAATTTTGTCCAAAAAGAATTAAATAAAAAAAAAAACACAAAACTCTTCTGTGTAATCCAACACATTCACGCACTCTCTAACACACATACACATGCACACAATCTGATATTCTAAAAGGGAGGCAACCTTGTAAACATTACTGAAAAACCCTCCTCTCCCCCAGGGAAGACAAGGGCATCAAGCTTTCTGCAAAGAAGACAGAATCTCTTTCTCTCTTTATCTCTCCATCTCGTTCCTCGTCTCAGTAAAGTGGAGTTGATGGGGAGATTCATTTACATATGTACGTGTTATTTTGGCTCCTCCTGCAAAGCACACCTCCAGGAAGTAAAAGAGGAGTACAGGGGTGATCTGCAGGCTCTCTCTCCCTCTCTCTCTTTCAGTCTCTCCACCAGCAGCGTTGTTGAGAGCCTGTCTGTCCGTCCGCCTCTCCATGGGTCCACTTGTGTGTGTGCTCAGAAGATTTCAGGCAGTGTGACGTTGCGGAGCAGCCACTGCTGGGAGCGGCTGCCCGTGCAGTCTCTGACACTGGGCACCTGACTGTCGTCCTCTGACGCTTTATCCAAACACTGATTACTGTTCACATGCACCAGACTCAATTTCTGCACAGAGCGAAAGAGAGAGAGAGAGAGACCAGTGAGAGAGAGCATCACATCATTACATTAAAAAAAGTTCCTATGACTATTACTATTAGACTATTATTTCCTGACTATTAGCTTGTAATCATGCAAATGTTTTCTATTGTTCTTCATTTTCTTCCTCCTATTTATTTTACTATTAATTGACATGAATTTGGCCTGCATGCAACTTTACATAGTAGATAATAGCAGGATAGAAGACCTGAAACAGTTACCACAATAAAATAAAAAGTACTAAACACACATTTCCGTTGTCAATTTTTGAATTCCAAACAAGTGATTTAACAGCTGAACCTGAACACTTACATTTGCTATTGAGCAGATAGCACAAGAAAATAAAGTCTGGCGTCATTTTATTAAAATGAAAGATGAAGTAGTCACATACACACATACACTAGTCTGACGTAGCTTTCCACAGAAGCACAACATTACCTTCACCGGGAAAGGAAACATGCTAGTGTCGAAGCAGCAAAACGGTCATTAAAAGGGCACCAGAATGTAATTGCCACAGTATTTAAGGTGGAATGGAAAATCTGAATAAGACGCTGGCGAATAGGAAGCCAATTTCAGAAGTAACGTGTAGACTCTGTACAAGTACTGTGGGGGTGGGCGAAGGGACACTCTCCTCCTCATGGTAGCCACTTTAATACATGATGTACTCTTTCTCTGCACTGTCCACTTTTATCTGGCAAGAGCTGTTCGTTAGATTGCTGGTGTAATGTATTTTCACCCTGCTATCTGTAATGAGCTGTATATCATGTGTACTATGCTATGCAGCTGTTAAGAATGAACTTGTACAGATCGTCTCCTCAGATCTGCACTCTTTTGTACTACTCCCATCATTATACATTCTAATACACTGTAGGCCGGTTTCCCAGACAAGGAATTAAGCTTAGCCATGGACTATATTTTCCTTTCAATGGAAAATCTCTATTCAAAGTCCTGTGTAGCCCAGGACTGGACTTAATCGCTGTACAGGAAACCGGCTTTGTGTGCGCAAAACTATCTAGACGCCCATTCTAATTAGTGAACTTGGCTACTGTAATGTGCAGCCATTGCTGATACAGGCATTCAACTGCACACACACAGCCTTTATAATCTCCACAAAGAAACGACGGGCGTTCTAAAGCAGCCGCACATAAGCCTAAGGTCACCATGCCCAATGCCAAGTATCAGCTAGAGGGCTATAAAGCTTGCCAGCACTGAGCTATAGAATCACATGTAGTTCTTCTTAAAGGGCCCATATTCTAATGTTTTCCCCAGAGATCCAATTATGACATTTGTGTGTTTTTACGTGCCAAAAAACTGTCATAACTCTTTATCTTTTAAATTGTACAGGGTGTCCCAAAAAAATTGACATCATTTCATAGTCTCATAACATAGCCAATTCTCCCTCAAATGATCTCAAATTTTAACAAAATGTGTAAAAACTAACCAAGTTTAATTTTTAATGTTTTCTTCAGGTTGAAGTATGGCGTTCACTAGAAATGAAAAGGCATTTTGTGTGTTAGAATATGCTCAAACACATTCAAACAAGAGTGTGCAGCGTGCATTTTCGAGAAAATTCAATAAAAAAGCACTGGAAAAGCAGATTTGGACATGGCACAAAAAATTCAAAGAGGAAGGCTGTCTGTGCAGGGCAAAGAGATCTGGACGACCACCAGTATCGGAAGATATTAAATTTGTGAAGCTTTGTGAAATCGGTTATAAAATCTACATCCCTCTGAATTTCTTGTTCGAATTTTGATAAATAAATCTTGTGCTGTTTAACAGGAAGCTTATTTAATTTCATTTGCCTAGGACATGTAGTTACTCAGACATTCACATCTCAAATGATGTCAATTTTTTGGGACACCCTGTATATTATAGTTAACTAAGCTATTGCTTCACTGTGCCTTTAACACTGATATATGTGAATGAGCTCTGTTCTGATTGGTTGGTCTCCATTGCAACTCTTTCCAAAAGCAGTGCAGGGTGAAAAACTTTCAGGTGGGTGGGGCTAAAGTGCTGTAGGCTGAAGAGGTGTATATATATGTAAATGTCTTGTTTTTTGTGACATTATAAAAAAAACAACAACACTGAATTCAGTAAACTGTTTTTGCAGTTAAGTTTTCACACTGGGAAGTGAATGGTACACTTTGGAAGTTGAAGTAAGTTTATATAGTACATTAACCCCTTTTTACAGCAGCCTTTTACAGAAGTTTTGGAGGTCCCTCAGTTATACTATCAAGTATTGTTTGTTTTTCAATAACACTGATGGGATATATTTCAATAGGAATGTGTATAATTTGCAACTTTGTGAGTAAGTAAGTCAATACATATAAAAGTGTTCTATTGCGTTTCAATCCTATTTTATATTGTGGCAGTTGTACATAATTTTTTGTTATGAAGAAAGTTGCAGGTGTGCTGTCTGATCTCTGCACGGCCGTCTTTCTGGAGAGGTGGTGAACTGTTTTCACTGTGGGGGTTTCTCACCCCTCCACTTTCAGACCTCATTGCTTGCTAGCAGCTCAACAAAGAGTCACAAATTTTCACACTCAGAGAGCCAACAGTTTCAATCTTACACAAAGTTTAACACACGGATACAACTGTGCTAAGAGAACTCCCCCTTACACACACACACACCTCAGTGGGTGAGTGATGGTAATGTATGGTAATAAATGCAGGAGAGGTGCTCCCTTTGGCAAGAGACTCCCTCAGCTCTCTCTCTTTCGCCCTTCACTCCTTCTTTCCTCCCTCGCTCTATCTGTCTGTCTGTCTGTCCCTTGCTGTGGCTGTCTCTTTCTGGACAAGAAAAACAGAGCTTTCATCTGACAGTGGAAAAATTCTGCTGCAGCCCTCTATTTCACCTTTCAATCACTCTCTTTTTCCTCTCTCTCTTTCACTCTTATTGTCTTTCTCTCTAACACAGTTTTTCCTCTCTTTCTCTCTGGGTGTGAGGCCAGGATGATGGGGTGCTGAAGCAGAGGGGGAGAAAGAGGGATAAAAAGAGAGAGAGAAGGATAAAAAGAGAGATAGAGAGAGAAAGAGAAAACCAAACAGAGCAGGAAGGAGAGAAGGATAAAGAAAGAGAGAGTGAGAGATAAAGTTGGAGTGAAATACGTTTCCTCCAGCCAAAAGGAGCTCTGGTGGAATGCAGAGAGTGCTCTTCAGACTGACCCTCGACATGACCCTCTAATCTCTCTCTTTCTGTCTTTCTCCTCTCTCTCTACTTCTTCTCCTTCTCTCCTTTAGTCTGTCTCTCTCTCTTGTGTCTGCTGTCTTATTCCCTTTCTCTTCCTTCATCTCCCTCTCCCTCTGTCTCTCTTCCTCCCCCACTTCTTCTCTTTCTATCTTTTCTCTCTTTCTCTCTTCCTCATTCGGTGTCTCTCTCTCCTCCTCTCCTCTTTCTCCCTCTTCTTTTTTTTCTCCTTCTCCCCCTCTACTTCCTTTCTCTCTCTCTGTCTCTCTCTGCTCTTTAATGTACTGAAGCCTCAGTATGATATTAAGTCACAGTGACAGTCAGCTGAATCTAACTATACTATCAGCCCTTAAACAGCATAAAGCATACTATAGAGTGTGTCAGTGTGTATGTGCTCTGAGTCAACATTTACACACACACACACACCCTGCAGACAGACTGGATTGGGAATAAGTTGAACTGATTTAGAAGCAACATGACGTGGAAGGCAGATAAGTCCCCTTGAACTGAAGGATGCTCAAATGCTCAAAGCACAAACACACACACAAACACACACACACACACAGAGTTCTGTGCAAAAAGAAGAGGCCACCCTTCATTTATTCAATTTCCATTTAAAATGGCCATTAAGTACCATTTTTCAGGGTCATAAAAAAAAATCAGAAAATATATAGTACTATGCAAAAGTAGCTTTGAGTTGTCTTCTCACAATATTGAACTGTGTACTGTCTCCTCAGAAACACACTCCCTAATGTAGAATATAGAAAAAAATACATATATTGTATGTATTGTAAAAAATTACAGTACAAAACAGTGCACTGCCTATTTTTGTTTAGATAAAGCACTTACCTAGACAGAAATACATACACAGACACAATGACTCCACAGGGATTCAGCTCAACCATTCTGAATTCATGTTCACGTTCAAAAGCACAGCGGTTATGGTTGGTTGTGGCTATCTCCCAAACACACACACACGCACACACACACACTCACCAAAGGATCGTACTCCCAGAGCTGGTTGCCTTTCAGATGATGGCACTTGAGCATCATGACTGGCCCATTGAGTTTAGACACATCCAGGCAGAGGTCATCTGTCCGGATCTCCTTATTGGCAGTGTAGGAGAAAACCTAGGGGGAGACAGGCATATTTTTTAAACAAATACTATTCAAATAGGCCAATGACAAAACATTTTATGCCACTATGAATACAAACCAAAACCACAGAATGTCTAACATTCATTTACTGGGTGCAGTTACTATCAGTTATTTTACTCTTTTTGTGTGTGTTAAGGCGTATGTGATTTAACACACTGCCAGGGATCTACAGAATGATAACCAGCGCAACTTACACCGTTTTGTTCCACACAGTCATATGTAAAAGTATGCACAAATACCGTTCATGCTGAATGTAACACATTGTGAAAAAATAAAACATAAAATGTGGCTTGCGCAAAAGTAATGACACATTTTATATTTTATTTATTTTTTTCCAATATCTTAAACGTAGCAAATAAATAGAAATAAAAACTGAAGACAAATGTCATATTTCCGTTTGTTCCCTGTAGATGATGTGTTTACTTATACTTGCTTGCAAAATCAACAAAACATGTAATTTGACCGGGGGGCTCTTCTAAAGCCATTTTGCTTAACATATGATACAATATCAGCTGCTTATGTTCCGACACTATCTGAGGTCACACGCTCAGTCTAACCATATGCTGCGTCTGATTAAAGCTTGCAATTTCGCATTTTCAAATTCCAACTAGGAAAAAACAAAGAAAATGCAAAGTCTGGAAGCTTCAGCATATGAGGTCAAATAAACATGACTGCTTACATCATCAACAGTAATGAAGAACCACTTCTCTACTATTCATTAAGATTAGAGTAGCATTTGCTTTAGATCAGACACAGTAGTTTGTTAAATCTACAACAATGGCTATAAAGTTAGTTATTTTGAGAACGTTTGGACGTTAAAGTGATCATGTAGAGAGACTCACCTGGTTGCCTCCCATGCCATGGCAGTTAAATATTCCCACTTTCTCATTCTCTTTTCTTGCCATGTTGTCCAGGCACTGGTTAGTCTCCACATTACGAATCTGCAAAAAGCACACACACAAACACAGGTTTCATCAGACCTCACAACTTGATTTGTTTAAGAGTATTTGGAAAACAAGTGCACCATAAAATCTCAAATTTTAGAATGATTCTGCAATTTAGCATCATTTTAAAAAAATATACTGAATGCACAAATGTGACTGTAACTATTTATACAGCAATGCAAAACAGACAATGAAAACAATACACCACACATTTTGGGGGGATTTTTACATATATGAAAGTAGCTCAGAAACTTTTTTGGCTGAAAATGAGTGCGTACTTTACTTTAAAGTTATTAGAGTTAATTCTAATAGATTCTAGTTAAAATCTAGGTTTCAGCATTTGAATCCCGACCTTCAGATCAATGCATCATAAATGCTGCATCCAGAAACCTTTGCTACTGCTAATGCTCCTGTCCTCCCTTCCTTTCCTACTGCTTCTCTGGTAACAGGAGGAACGCAGAGGAATCGAGAACAGGAGCAGGGAGAATGGAGAGAATAAGCATAAATCGGGGAAATGGGACAGCTGACTCCTTTAAACATCCATTTGATGTTGACTATTGATTAAATGAACCTATCACAATGTTTGCTGGACAGCACACCCCTAATACAGCTGCATAGATGCTACCTGTTCACATTTGCGTGATTTTATACTCTGAATCTTTTTAATTTGACAGCACGTCCAAAGTACTAAGAATATATAAACACAAATAAAACAAAGAATTTAATAGCTTGATTGCTTTGTGATAGTCCATCCTCTCTGGGCATGTCTGCAGTGATGTCACTCTAAAACCTGTAAAAGACTTCCTTAGCAGTATACACCGGTGTATCCTCTGCTTGAAGCCGCTTCGGTGGATATGTTAAGCAGCTCTTCTCATCCCCTCCGGTTTTCGGACAACCGGTAAGATGACGCTACAAAATCGGTTTCCAGGACACAGAAGAGAAGAGGAGGATCGGTAGGAAAAAAGCAGTAATTTTAGGGTTTCTGGACACAGCCAGAAAATCTGTGCCTTCTCTACACAGAGACACCCAAAGTCTGCTGGGAAAATGGGCTTAGTTATATTCTGCTGAGCTGAAAGGAGGCGGCAGTTCAGCTATTACTTCTATGATCATTGTTATTATGCTGCTCAGCTTCAGAGAAAGCAAGTTTTAAACCTTCCACTTAGGTGGATGAACTCTGCGCAAAGGAGTTAGCTAGCTGCTGTCATCACCGTTAAAGCCACATGCTATTTGTTAATTAGCGAAGCTCCTTAAAAGCAGTTAAAAAAAAGCCTTAGCATAATGAACCACTTTTCTGTAGCGTGTAGTTGGCAGTTCAGTTAATTATGTTTTTTTAATGTATACATGGTACACACAGACACACACACAAACCCCTGCATATATCAACACGCTCACAACTGTGGCTCTGTGTCAAACATGCAAACATGGGTAATTACCAAAAGCTCATCACATGCCGGGAGAAGTATCGACTAGCTGAGAGACAACTGTGCCAATCGAACACACACACACACACACACACACACACACACACACACACACACACACACACACACACACACAGCTTTAGCATGAGTAAACATTGCTTGGGACTAAATTATGACAAACATATCTTAAAAGCCACACAATGAAATCTGAATTTTACAGACAGAAGAAAAAGGTAATTTTGCCAATACAGTGGCACCTTCACACCAAATCTGATGCGTTTCTGTGGAAAGAAGACGAAAGAGAAGGAAAACATGGATTCCTTGAGTAACAGCAATGTTTGACAAGTTTAAATCTGCACTTCTGTCTTCTCCTGTTTGTTTCAATGTCAAAAACAAGGAAAAAAATGAAAAGGATGTTTTTTCTTCCTGTAACACAACTTTGGTACAACACAAATTAGGTATCAATTAAATGTTTAGAATTTGGCACTGTGGTCTGAATTCCTCTGCTTCAGTGAGAAATAACTACAACACTGATAGTTCTGGTTCTAGAATCTGACTGGCTAAGCTACATGTAACCTACTTGACATATGCACATAAAATATAATTTACCAAGCTATTGTGCTCTGTTTACTAATTAATCTTTGACGCTTCATCTTTAATCTGTGATGTTGCTTGGCAGCCACAGCCTACTGTTAATGAACTGCAGTACTGCAGTACTAGTCACAATAACTCACTGTTGTGATTGTTATTAATCATAATTTAAATTAATTACTGAACGCTGGTATATTTTACCATATTGAGTTTTGTCAATATTTGTAAATCAATAAGTCACTCGTGACCATGTGCTACAGTTTTTTTTTTTTGCCTCTGATAATGTTTGGGTAATTAAGGCTGCTTCAGATGAGCTAATAAGCTGCAGCTAACACCAGAACAAAGTGGTGCAGCGGAAGATAGCGATGAATCATTATCTTCTACACATGGTTTATTTTCCTCAGTGGATGATGTGGCATCATGTTAGTCTGTTGAGAGAACACTGAAGATAAATACACTATGTGGCCAAAAGTATGTGAACACCCCTCCTAATTACTAATTACTTGTTCAGGTGCTTCTGCCACACCCATTGCTAACTGGTGTATAAAATCAAGCACGTAGCCATGCGATCTCCACAAACAAACACTGTCAGTAGAATGACTCATACTGAAGAGCAGTGACTTAAAACATGGCACTGTCACAGGATGCTAGCTTTGCCACAAGTCAGTTTGTGAAAGTTCTGCCTTGCTAGATCTGCCGCAGTCAAATGTAAGTGCTGTTATAGCGAAATGGAAGCGTCTAGGAGCATCAACAGCTTAGCGTTGCTGTATACCACACAAACTCGCAGAACAGGGCAGACTTTGGCAATGAATCTAATTGGAACAGGATCTGCCAAGCAAGCGTTGCCAAAAAACGCATAAAGTCAGTAGTCACTTTAACAGTTTCCACAAATACAGATAAAAATCTTTATAAATATGCGTCAATTTATGTCGAAAAACTATGTATGGATAGACCTTATTCACAGATTTAATTTGCATAATTTTCATTTCGCCTTCAAACACGGAGAGGCTGGAACACAGTGAATATCACTGCGTAGGAAAGTAGCGTTAGCACAGTAATACCTAAGGTTTGCTTACTGTAGCAAGTTAGAAGATCCATACCGAATAACAATAAAACTACTAAAAATAAGGTGTTGTGTTAGAATTTTACCTACAACACTCAAGTGGCTTATTACTATTCACATACAACAGCGCACATAACTGAATACTGTATTAATGTGGCAAGTTATTAAATACCATTGTGCTTTGACTGCTGACTTTAGCCTGCTGTTAACAACTAGATTGCTTTGTGGAAAAAAAAACTGTTTATTAAACATTTATGTAAGACATCATCTTGTGTTTTCAGTTTGTTGTGGCAAAATAACTACACTTGGCTTGGCTTTGCTTATAGTTTTATTATAAAACCACATCATGCTATTTAATTTCCTTTGAATATGGTTGTTTCCACAGTGCCCTGTCTCATGTCTGAATATGGCAGCTTTAGAGTGGGCTGAGAGCTCAAAGAGTGTCTTTGACATCACAGACCAACAGCAAACATCAGAGAGACGGACAGACAGGGGACGAACGAGTGTCAGCTGTCAGAGAAATGGACACGCTCACGGGGAACGCTGTCTAAGACATCAGAGACAACATGCATGTTTTATTCATCGAAGAGAGAGGGAGAGAGAGAGAGAGAAAGAGAGGGGAAGCTGTGTGAATATAAATATCTCATTTCCTGACTGGAGCAGTTTGATGAGTGACCTAATCAATGCATGTGACATCCAGAACCCTGTACAACAGTCTATATCTCGTTCTCCCTCTCTCACTCTCTCGGTCTCTTTCTTCCCCTACATCATCTCATTCACACTAACCCTCAAACACAAACGTCCACATACACACTTTTAACAAGCAGTTTTCCCCTCACTGGACCCCATTAGTATCACAATGCTGCAGACTGAACATGTTTGAGATGGAAATTTCAACCATTTTTGCTGTTCAAAATCCAAATGCATTCTAAAGTGTTCCAACATCCCAATGAGAAAATATTTTATAATTGTTATGAATAAAAATGAAAGCAAATGAGAGCTCCACACATATCCAGATATAAAAAAAATGTTTTTGGCCTTCTGACCACATGAGAACAGCATGAGATAAAAAAAAATCTCCATAAAAACTCCATAATTCAGGTGATCAGGTGATCAGGACTGTGTAGGTGTATGGGCATTTCGGAGTAGAGTAGCTATGGCAATGTAAAAACCCCCCTGACAGCAGGTGGTATTTTTTTCTCTTAAAAAAAAAACACATTTTTAACAGCTTTTATTTTCTGGCAGAAACTGGACTTGAATCTGTGTAAAATATCATATTAAGAAAGTGTGATGGCTTGAAAGTCAAAGCCTATTGTGTTTCTAACCCATCACTGTCACTCTGGTTAAATGTCTGCTTCAGCTTTGTGCTATATTTTGTGTAATATGCATGCTCATAATGTTCTTTGACATAAAATTTTATTAAGTATTATCACTCGCTACTGGGCTGGCATACTCATATAAGTGTTTTCTTTCATTTTGAGAGTTCAGAGAGAAACAATATATTTTTAAAAATGTTTATGTACATGTGGACGAGGCCTAAGTGCTGGCCTCATTATCTGGAGAAGTTCAGTCCCTAGGGATGCCACAGCCATCCGTGGCTGGGAGTCCAAGACAGCATAATTGTTTGGATATCTGTATGTTGAAATATCCACACCCCCCTCCCTAGTGCATGTTTGAGTGAAAAAAAATGCAACTGAAATGAACAAGGCATCAACCAATTTAGAAAAACACTCAAAAAAGCAACCTTTTCAGAATTGATCCTGTTTGGGTGTGCGAGAGTCCATCTGTGAGTTACCTCTCCTAGGGAGTAGTAGTGGCGTGGGATCTGAGAGTCAGGATAGACGTTCTCCAGGTACCACGAGAAAGGTTTACACTGCAGCATCTGTCTCAGAGCTGTCCTGGAGGAGATATCCCCGTAGTCCACTTTCGTCACACCTTTACACACACAAACACAAGAACACAGAAGTGAGCAAAGTGGTACAAAATAAAGAAACGTCTGATGGTACATTTCAAGGAGGGGCTTCCCTTACCTCAAATATAGTCAACTGGCCAAACATGCTTAATGTCTGAAGTTTGCTTCTTTAGTTTTGAGAGGCTAATGTAGCTAGCAAAGTAATGGAATGGATATAGTAATGGCTTCTTTACCAAGCAGCATCATGCAAATGGCAACAGCAGCATGCTGCGGCTGGATTACTGGAAGTCAATCAACTTTTTGGTAGAGTCCTAAGCGGAAAAGCCCTTCCCTTTTTGTGGAGGTATGCACATTTGTAGTAGCCATAACAACCTAAAAAATCGTGTTTTTTTATGCACTTTATGCAATTTATTGTTTTTTGTCAGATTCTACTAGGTTTCTCCCCCTTCAAAGAGATAACTGCCCAGGGGCGTTCCCAAGAAACCTATGTAAAAAAGAGGCTTCAAGGTGGATGCAACATTTAAAAATTATTCAAAGTTTTAACTTAAAAAAGGAACTTGGTTACCTTGACATTGAGTTTATTGAACTTTGACAGAACAGTAATCTGTGTCTTACATTCTGTTAACTTCAAATTAGAATTTCAGTTCGTTCGAAATTTTAAGGCTACCAGGTTACTTACTTTTTTAAACACTATTTTTTTTTTTACACTGTACTACTGCTGTTAGCTTTGCAATGTAATTTGCCTGTTTTTATAGAAAACAGTATGCAGTATCCCTTAACAAAGGAAACTGAGTTCCAAAAGTTTGAAAAAACATTCAGAAAGTAGAAAGGTAGACCTTTCCTTCTAGCAGAGTCATTCTCTCTTCCGAATGTGTACACATACACACACATACACACACATACACACACAAAGGCCCCAGAGCTCTGGGCTGCAATGGGAAATATTGACAGTGACATTAATATCCATTATGCTCCATCTCTGAGTCAATAATGCCCTTCCACCCAAGTGCACTGACAATCCAAATGCTTGAGAGAGAGAGAGAGAGAGAGAGAGAGAGAGAGAGAGAGAGAGAGAGAGAGAAAGAGAGCAAAAGAGAGCAAGAGAGATAGAGAGCAAGAGAAAAAAAGAGAGAGGAAGAGAGGGAAAGAGAGAGAGAGAGAGGGAGATTAGGGGGGGGAGACTGTATGTATTTCTGTTTGACTGACCAGGAGAGATGATGTAAAAGAAGTTCTTGAACTCGTCCATCCAGACTTCTGCCAGACGTCTGTTGTTTTTGTTGATGATCTGTCCCGTCCCACCGGGGAATGTGTATGGCGTGGCTTTACGGAACACGTGACCAACGTGAGAACATGTGACTATCTCTAACGTCCCGCCACACTGCCAAATCTGCAACAAACACACACAGACACAATGTTAGAAGAATTAACCCAAAAAAGAGCAACTTTTACATGATTGTCCCCTTACCCCAATACAGCCAATCAGCCAAATTTTGTTTGTTTAGTCTGCTAATGTTAGCCATTCAATACAAGCTAGCTAGGTATCTAAATAATCTGTGATATCAGCTCATCTAAGGTAAAGTAACTGGACTCGGGATGTTTTTGACAGTCTAAATCACATCATGAAAGAGGTAGTTTAGTATTTTGGTTGCAAGGGTGGTTGTTATGAAAAGCCTTTGACATTCTGTTGGCTCTTTGTTGTCTCTGCCTTGTTGAAAAGCTTGTTTGGCTTCCTGCATATTATGTTGCTATTTAACGGTAGTTTCAACGAATGTGCCATTCACTTTTAAGATGTGCTTCTTCATATCATGTGGTCAGTTTCATTTTTAGAAAATGTACATTTTGGTTTATAAACCAAGACTTTGTTCCATTTTCCTGTTCTACATGGAAATAGTATAATCTGTATTAAAGAAAAATAAACAGGTTTTAAGCACTGAAGTTGGCAATTAAAGGGTTACAGTAAAACCTGGCCATTTCCATGGGGGAACGTGGGAATAAATAAAAAAATGTCGATAATCTTGTTGAGATGCTTGAATGCCTTTGTGCTGATGTTTGTAATCGATCTATCAACAGAAACCTGAACTTAAATGAAACACTTTAGTCAGAGGATTCTATTTCTAGTTTAAACAAATTTGCTTACTGTCATTTCATTACAACTTTTTAATTTTGTTTACAGTGTCAGGTCCAGGCATAAAGATGTAAAGCAGCAGTACTGTTTAATAAAATCTGTTAATTCACTTAAATTTTTTAAACCAGAGCTGCGATACTGCTCCTGTTGCGTTGACCAGGGTGTGTTAGCGCTATGGTAGCAGGGTTATTTTTGCCAAGTTTCGCAGAGTGGTCTAAATTCCTCTGGCTCTCCAGACCTCCAAGCATCTCAGTAGGGCCCCCTAGGGTGCGCCAAAGTCTGACACAAATTCATGAGATTCAAGGGTCCGTATTTCCAGTTCCCTGAAGGCTAGCAATGCGACCCTGGGCTCGTTGGAAAGGGTACATTAAGCTCTACTAATCTGTGGGGTTTGGCTTCATCATGGACTTTTAAAGTCAGATTTTAAAGTCACTTGTTGCAAAGCATTCCCTTCTCCTGTGGTTTCACTCATGACATCATCAGCGATTAGTCAATATCAACTCGACTTTCCTCACATAACTGTCAACTTTAAAAAATCTGAAGTCATGCAACCCAGTTAGCCGGTTAGGTTTCTGCTAACATGCTCAGTCTCTAGTGAGGACAGAATATATCTAGCTATGGAGAATACAATGGAACATAAAACAGTAGCTTAACAATAAAGCACATGTTTTTTGACCTACTGAAACAGTAATGAATGACGCTTTCCTTTCCCAACTGGATATTTCAGCCATTATCTCAAAATACAGAGGTCATGTGAAGATTAAAGTGAATTTAAAAAAAGCACAAAAATTGCATCACTCGTCAAATCCTCTGAATTCACTGTGTTCCAGGCTGCAGCCACATGTTCTCAGAAAGGAAACGGTTGGCCATCATTATATACCAAACAGGCTAATAGTCTATTTTAAAAACAGGATGTTAAGAAAGCTGTCTGATTTCCACTGCAGAACACAAAGCACTTATTTCTCTTATTTTGGTCACCTTCAACCAGCAACTGGACTTATGCTCTATCCCTACTTGTTTCAAAATGTCTAATTAAAAAGTCACTTGTTAGAATGATTACAGACCAATAGCTCTTATTTCTGCCATCACAAAAACACACCCTGTCACACTTCACAGTGGCACTGCAAAGGTTTTCCTTAGGCCTCTACATTTGGCCTACAGAGTTACCAGACTTCAAACAGCAAAGGATCTGAAATAGGCCTGTGTAATGTATCATTTGCTAATCATTATTGTGATACTGGCCTTGGCAATACTGATATCACAGAAGGCTGCCACATGCAAGAGTCTCTAACAATGTAACAATTCTGACCAATCTCAGATGTTCCAGATGAGCTTCTGTGTGTGTTTTTGATGAATCAAAGGATACGTGACAGGCAGTGTGTTGGATCAAGGCTAAACTATAAATGAAAGTTGTCAGCTCCTATTAGAGAGGTGTTTGGATCATTCTCAGTACTGCAGTGACATTCAGCTTTCAAAACAGTGAATTTTGGCAAGTCTGCATGTATATCTGTTTTGTTGATTTTCTGAGTGGAAATAAATACATTCTCTTAAAAGCATCACACTTAAATATTTTTTTGCAGATGTTTTTCTGCAAATTTCAGAACACAATGTCTATTTATTTGCTGAGTTTCACTTATTGTAGGAAATATAACAAAATAGTATGTGCCAAAAATTGCAATATGTATATATGTAAATCACTACAATGTGACTAAGTTTCATTCAGGTCTAATCTGAATTCTGAATTCTGCTGCTTCCTCACAACTTTGGTCTTTTTTAGGGCCATAAAACCCCTCAAGCATTGTTTTTTATGAATAAAATACACTCGTTTCTTCTCTATTCCATAAGTAAAGCAGTGCCGAAATACAAATATTAAGAAATGTAATGTTACAGATATGGTACACATGCATTTATGTTATGCATCTTTTATTTTGAAGTATTTTATGTACTCTTGTATTGCACTGCTGCACTGCAACAAACTACAACAAATTTTACTGATATATAAATAGCGCATCTTCACTTGACCTAAGCACAAATTCTCACTTTTCATTTTCTGTGGGTGTCAAACCCTGTCGTATAACAGATTGTGTAAAATGCCTATAGTAAAATTCCCCTTAAATCTCACTACATGAATAGAAGCCTATGACACCCTCTAATTTTATGTGCTCTATATTTTCAGTAATATTTAGATGTCCAACACATATTCATTACACTGCAACCAATCACAGAGTTATAGGTTACAAATACAAAATATGTTTTTCTTTCAAGCAAGCAGTCATATAATTTAGTTTAGCAGAGGAAACAAATTAGCAGGGCCTTGTGCCAAATAAATATCACATTAATAAGTTAGCTTTATCAAAGACTTGTAAAATAAAAATGAAACATTACCTGAAGCAGAGTCTAAGTTTTATCCCCAATCAGAATCATCTTATAAGTGTGGGAAACTGAAGAGTTTTCTAATTTCCTCTTTTTTATTATAAGTATTGTCAACACAGGCAAAGCTAATTCAAGGAACAAATCATTCATTTTATCCTACACAGTCCTACATATATGCACATTTGGTTCAACAGAATGTTAGGATGTGAGGTCATATATAATGTCCCAAAGCATGACAAAACCTAAAAGGTAAGTTTACAGGTGAAGGGAAAAAACTTCACAACTTTAAATGGAAGTTAATCAAACAAGATTTTTTACATGTAATTTTGGACCATTTCAATCCATTCATCATAAAATTGTAACACATGGTACAGGACAGCTGGCATTTTCAAATTCTGCAAAAAATTAAAATGACAAAAGTGGAGATACAAGGTTTTGTTCCAACAGCAATGATATGTATAGGTACATAAAACTTTAGAAAATATTAACTTTCTAAGTTAACCCTAAACTTAAACCTAATCTTAGGCTCTGTAACCAAAAAAGAAATATCTCTGCCCTTTCAGTTTGAAAACATAAAACATGTAGCTTTTGGAAAAAGCACTTAAACTAAAGGAGAATTTTGCTTGTTTGTTTTCCTCCATACTGTTTTGCTTACTCTTGCTTTTTCTACATCATAAGGATATTTTTGTTGTGAAAATGTACAAAAACCAACACCAGCACACACCACCAACCCACACAGGTTGATGGATAGGTGAGATGAGCAGGCTGTGATATGTCATAGGCTGTGCAGTGCCTGATGGGTAGTGTAGGCCGGTAGTGTAATACTAACCCTAAAGGAAATCTCCAGGTTCTCTCCACCCCAGATGTCCATTCCTGCATCATATGTACCGATCTCCTGGAAGTAATCTCTGTCTATGGAGAACAGTCCACCCGCCATTGTAGGAGTCCTGCAGTGAGAATAAGTACAGATACATAAGATAACAGACAAACAAACACACACACACACACACACACACACACACACACACACAACACACACACACAATATACACACACATAATATATATATATATATATATATATATATATATATATATATATATATATATATATATACATTAGAGTTTTAATCAGGCCTAGAATTTTCATCCAAACCAGAACACAGCTTGAGGATATGCTTCCCGAACATTCTCCCCACACCAGACCAGATTGCAGCCTGACAAAATTCTGTCCAAACTCGACTGTAAACCAATAAATTGCTGTCCAAGTTCGAGTGCAACGCAACAACATCCAGTCCAAACTCGACAGTAACCAGACAAAATTCTGTACAAACTTAACTGGAACCCAACAAAATTTTGTCCAAACTTGACTGTAAATCAAGAAAATTCTGTCCAAACCTCACTAGAGTAGCAACTATTGACTATTTTCATTTTTAAATTCAATATTCTGTTGAATGTTATTGTAAATATTCAAATATCCTCAAAAAACTGTTGTCATTTATTGAACAAGTTGCTGCCACGGCGTGAATGTGTCAGGTGTGCTGATTATTTGAATGGCTTTACCTTTTTTAAATATTTTAATTATCACATGCATTAAATAATATATTTGCAACCCTAAACCTGACTGTAGAGAGATGGGCTATGAGGAATCTATGCAATCTGACACTAACCCAAGACAAAAATGTCTGCAATAATAACCCAACCCCACCAAATGTTTGTGTGTGCATGTTAAAGCTTAAAATATTTGTCAGATCCCGACAGGACCCAATTCTAACAGAGGGACTCAGCATGCAACAACAGCCCCTTTAGGGTACAGATCAATTCTTACGCAAGCAAGCAGCTCTCCTCTCTTTTATCTTTCTCCAGGTCTTTCTCTTTCTCTCTCTCTCTGGAACAAACTCTCTGTTCGTCACTCAGGCGAACTAGCTCTTCAGTGGAAATGGCACTTATACTCTCGTCTATTTTAGAACAACATCCTTCTCTCTCGCTCTCTCTTTCTCTGGCTACTCAGCTCTTTCCTGTTTGCCCTCTGTCCATCCTTCGCTCCACATTGCACTTGTTTTCCACAAGTGAGGACCTGTTGTTGTTATCGTCGCTGTGCGCTTGTTTTTACATCTGAAAGTTGCTGTTGTAGAAGTGAAGCTGCTTTGTTATTCAGAAAAACACGCTGCGATAGCAAGAGCAAAGGCCTTCCGTCAAAAACAGCGGCGTCTGCGTGGCTACAGGCTGTGTTTGTGTGTGTGAGAGGGAGAGAAAAAACACAAAAACACTGATCTGCAGCGACATCATGCAGAATGACTTGAGAATTTGTCGTCAAAAACACCATCTCACAAGCAAAAACACAATCACTCCAGCCTGCAAAGCTACATCTATGAAGCAAGTGCTAGCAGCTCTTTGACTGTTCTATTCTTAGTAGTGCCACATCCAATTTTTTATGTGTCCAGAGTAACCTATTCCAGCCAATTAACTCATGCAAGAACAAGCTTCCTTCATTAAAAGGGGAATTCCAGGGAAGTTTACTGTATAATTAAATAGGCAAGATTTGGTTTGATGTGAAATGTTACATTCTAGAGACACTTACCCAATTGTTCACATTAGTGGTGATGTGAACCAGACGTCTGAAGTGTTTAAAGCTCTCTCACAGAAAGATCTTACATGAAATAGTTATAAATATGCGGCCTGATGCCTGAGACACTGTCTTACAATAGGTTTGCGATAGGATTGTGGTCTAAAATTATTTCTTTCTAAACCATTCATGGTGGAGAGGTGCATATAGGGTGTTGTAAGGCAAAAGAGTCCCCAAAGAAAATGTATTTTTTCAGATTTCCCACTATATGCATATATTCCCAGCATATGTTGCTCCAGAATGTGATAATGGTGCAAATTACCCACTAATACCCCACATACCATGAAAGACCCTGGCTTTGGAACTTTATGCTGGTAACAATCCAAGCCAAGTCAAAGTTTATTTATATAGCGCATTTTACAACAGGCATTGTCACAAAGCAGCTTTACAGAAAAATCCGGGTCCAAGTCCCCATGAGCCAGGCAAAGGCAACAGTGGCAAGGAAAAACTCCCTGGGAGCAAGAAGAAGAAACCTTGGGAGGAACTAAGACTCAAAAGGGAAACCCATCCTCCTCTGGCAACACTGGACAGCAAACAGCATTAGTATAAAATACTAAAATCCAGAAACGGGTAAAAATAGGCGAAGCAATGGTTATAATTAAATAGACTGTGCAGCAGCAGCAGCAGTATCACTTGTAACAATGTGGATGGTTTTTGGCTTTGTCCTTTATGCACAGAGCGACTTCTCTGGATTTAATGAATCTTTTGATTATGTTTTGCCTCGTAGAGGATGAAATACCTAAAATCCTTGCAATCCCTGTCTGAGGAACATTTTTTTTAACTGTTGGATTTTTTTTGAGCGTCAGTGTGAGCCTCATTCCATCTACTCATTAATAAAGGACATCCTTTCCTGAAAGCTCCTTTCGCACCCAAGAATGACTGCTTAAGCTATTTAGGATATTTCTTGAACATTTCAGTGTTCCTAGTCTTAAATTGCTCCTGTCCCAACATTTTTGAAACGTGTTGCAGGCATCAATTTCAGAATGAGCATAAATTTATAAAAACAATGGAGTCTAATAGGTAAAACATTTATCTTTACATTGTTTTCGTTCAAATACAGGTCAAAGTGGATTCTTAAATCAGTGCTTTGTATTTTGCATTTCACATACAGCCCCAACATTTTGGAATTGGGTTGGTATATCTAATCTTCTCAGAAATATCTCCTGAAAAATGGATAACTTCTACCTACTGGCCATTTTACCTGGAAATTAAATAAATGAAGTGAAATGAAATAAATGTCTAAATGTCTAAAAATAAATTATCGCTTTAGCGAGATTTTGTATGAATTTATTTCATACACCAACAATGTTTCCTTCTCCTTCAGTCCTGTTAAACAGCATCTCAGGAATCTCATGACGCTGCTTGAGAGGATGCCAAGAGTGTGTGAATATGCATAAAGGCAAAGACAGGCTCATTCGGAGAACATAAAATAAAAGATCATATAATTTGATTCACACTTTTTTTAATCACTGCATTATTCCATACATATTATTGTTATTTTTTAATGTCTTCACTATTATGCGAAGAAGATAATAAAAAATAAGAAATATACTTCTATTAGCACTTATTTTATCTGAATGGGAAAAAGAATGCATGGAATACTGATGTCTAACTAGAAAAAAGAGAAAACACCCTTATCTGAACTTAAGTGCACCAAAACAACCTAAGGTCATAGTAAGACAAATCTGATCCCTGACCATGGTGCATGAGGGCCAGTGCAGTTAAGGCAGTATGACCTATGGTAGCACTTATAGATCTGCGTGCTTGAAAAAGCAAACAGGAAGCACTGCAAGGAGACAATAACAAAATAGTAGTAGGTAGTACTTTACTCACACAAAAACAGACATCTGAGCAGTAAACATCCTTACAGTACATACAATATTAAAACAAACTGGAAACAGCGAATATGTTTAACCTGTTCTAATCTGTTCTCAACCATTCAGATTTCATAAACAGCCCTGATCAAGTGACTGTAACTTGAAATGGCCCACTAATCACTATTCCGGTCACTGGAAAATCAGAAACGCTCTTATAGGGAGCAGAATTTGCAATACAAGTAAACAGCTTTGTACATTTTTATCAGATATAGAAATCTCATAATTCCACTTTTAGATACTGCCTTTTCTGATAATGACCCCTGAGTGTTGGCCGATGCCAAAACTGATATGATATTTCTTCTTTAAAAAACTATAAAGCTGTAAAATTAGCTGGGCCTGCACTACATGATTTAAGGCCAGTTCTAACCCCAATTTGCCCCTTTTGGCAAATTTTCACAATCTACACAAATTTCCCAGGACAGGAGCTCTGATGATCTAGTCATGTGAGAGGGGTAAATTAGTCAATCTTTAGCCTCTCAATGTTCGGATATAATAATTTCAAACATTTTGACTGTTTGATTGATTAAAGTATGATTTTTATGTCTCAAAACCTTCACAAGTTCTGTAGTGTGAGATGGTCAGCGACGTAACTGAATGAGTGATTCAAGCCACAGCCAATGAGAGAGCTAGAAGAGAGAAAAAAGGAGGAGAAACGTGCATTCACACAGACTGTGGAGCTGAGATGCTGCTCGTTGTGTCCAACTCTCTTTACAAGTTTAAGTCAGCTACCAGTTTTCCTTGTGTCTGCATAAAAGCTGAATTAGGTTGTGTCTAGTTTAGTTTTGTTAGTACCACATAAGAGCGAGATCTGAGTTTCTGAGTGCTTTGTCAGAGCCAAAACTCATTATGTGTGCAATATCCTCTTTTTGCCTTATTGTGTACTGTGTGTGCCCTCACTACAAAAATACAAAACATTATGGAATAGACTGATGTGATGCTCTCTGTTTTGGGAATCTGTCAGGATTTAAAAAGTCATGAATGTGTGTATGTCCAGCTTCAGCTATGTTCAGTTGAAGCACTTCACTTAAGATGAGTATCTGAAAGCAGGCTCTCATGCTCAAACTACTCAAACACTCTTCTACCCCATAGAAAGAAACACACAGCTAACATCACATCACACAAAGTGAACTTGTGCTATTTCATGCTACATTTGGATCACAGGACTGGACCAGATTAATTCCTTTTTCATATCCGATCCAACAATTTTTGCTGATATCAGCCCGATGCTAATACCTGATATTGTATTTAAGGGCTTTGTTCACTCTGCAGAGCAAATCGGATTTGTTTTATCTGATTTTTTTTGACTGACTGCTTTCAAGTTTCAAGTGACCAAATCTGATTTATATGGTCAGACAGTAGTCATATTTGCTTGCACATCCACACTGGTTGCCATAGTAACAATGCACTCATACATGCACTCGTGCATACCCTGACCAGGTGGGGGGCAAAACTTAGCAAACCTTACGACCATAACTAGCTAATAGAACGCTAAATATCACAACTGCATTTCACTACAGCATGAACAGAACATGACATTAGTGTAGGTTGACCTAGTCACCAAACTGCTAACCACCTATAGGCTGTAGCAGTAATATAGCTATGTGAGTCACATATACAGAAATCTGAAACTTGAATCAAATTTGAAACCACCAACAACTGTGACTGGAAAAAGTCTGATTTCATGTGGCTTTTGGCTGTGTAGACTACTCAACTACCTGTTTAAACAAGGCCTAGAACACTCTTGTGGATTCCTGATGCTTTCCAGAGTGAACAGCTTATTGATCACATGTTCTATCATAAAACCTGGTTAAACGACATTTACAAGTTCATTTTATTTTAAAGCTGACTCCTGCTTCTTTAATATGAAACCAAAACCAAGTGATAGAAATCAATACAACTCAGGGCTGAGGGGAAAATTGGCATTAAAATTGTAATTTCTAGAAAAAATATTAAGGGACCTGACTACAATAACTAACAATGTTCAGCATCATTTCCTGGTGATGAACAGAAGCCTACTAGGTTATAAATATCAGCATGTAGCTAAAAGCTGTGCACTTAACCTAAGAACTCTCTAAAGAACCTTAAATTTACTGAGCCTGACCATTTCTTTGAAAAACTGAAGGAGTGATCCAACATTTACAGAAAGGGAAATCAAATATGAAGAAAACAAATATGTTTGGAGCACTGCAAGGCAAAAGTGACTCGTATGAATAGCTCCCCCTCCAAGAGAATGTTAAGACTTTTGAACATAGCTTTGTAATGACCTTTAGATACCATGTCTAACATGTAAACTGCAAACTAATCACTAAGCTGATTCACTGAGAACCTTACATTTTAAATAAATTAGTACATTCACGTAATCAATTTTAATTGAGTGATCGTGACAGCCCTACTGTGTATGCATATGTGTGTTACCTGACGGGCAGCGTTCTGTCTCCTTTCCTGCGGTCCATCTCTCTCTGGGGCACAGGATACCAGCGGAAGTTCAGTTTCCAGTTAAAGCCTCCGTATGTCATATCGGAACCCGCCATGTATTCAAATGTGTCATCGCTGATCACATCAATAATGGGGCACACCACTGTTTTTCTGTCAAACACAAACACAAACACAAACAAACATGTCGACCGGTGCACAATGTGGCATATTATTGTTTTCTTCTCTACTAGAACCTGTTTTCCTCTTATGACTTCCTTTGAATATGAGTTAACATACACACACATAAAACACACACACACACAGAAGTCTTTCTTAAACAGATGCAGACACAAATCAGTAAACCTGTTTCATCAATCAGCACCAAGCAGCCCCCCTCCCCAACATTTCTAACACTGCCAACAATGATGGATCACACACACACACACACACACACACACACACACTTAAGACCCTGCAGACACACTGGATTCAGCATGCTGGAGTTTCATCTGCCTCATCTGCTAATGATCCCCTCACAGGCTGCCTGAGGCGTACACACACAGAATCAGAGAGAGAGAGAGAGAGAGAGAGAGAGAGAGAGAGAGAGAGAGGGGGAGAGAGAGAGAGAGAGAGGGGGGGGGGATTCAGACAGTGAGTGTGTGTGTGAGTGACTTTTCCTGGGAGGTACAAACACACACACACACTCATACATACACACACATACACACACACACTTTGCATACAGAGCCTTAGGAGAACAAGACCAGACAAACATATGCAGCTGCGTTTCTAACAAACTGGACTGTGATGAGATAGTTACTCAAAAAAATAATTAATTACAAATTACTAATTACCTCTACCAAACTGTAATGGGATTACTGTACCGATTACTTCCTGGAAATGAATTATTAATTTCAATACTCATTACATTTACTTCTATGTTACTCTGTACAACCCACATATCTGCTCCAGAAAGAAGAAAAAAGAAACTGAAAACTGATATTTTAGTAATTTATTTAGAAAGCAACAACCAGTCCATGTTAATATAATTTAAAGGCCTGCCACTATTCCTGCCTTTACCCTGAATACACAGCCAATTATGCTGATTAAAATTATAAATGACTAATGCTGTTTGAAAACCGTGAAACTAGCCACTAGAAACAGTCCAAAAACAGCAGCCTTGAACTAAAATCTTCATGAATAAAATGAAATGTGCCTGAATGAAAATGAAAATTTGGTCTGTTTAGTCTGTTTAGGTGAGGGGAGGGACTATGTTCTTCAGCATGGAGATCTTTATCCATCCGCTTCATATTAGCCTGATTAGATGCTTTGACAATTCTTCGTCAATTTTTGATTTTTGATCATTCAAACATGCCAAAATCACTTGGAATAAAACATCTTTACATTAACTTACGTTAAAAATGAAGAAAGTTACTGTTTTGGAGATACATGTTTTTTTGGACAGCAGTGATATGCATAATGTAAATAACAACTCTTACTGATAATTCTTACTAAGTCAGTAACTGTATTTTTATTTTTAAATTTAAACAGCAACATGTTACAATATTTTGTTACTAGAACATGTAATTACATTACTGTAATGCATTACTTTGTACTACGTTACTCCCCCGCATGAACACATGGACACACAGACTAAGACTACAACAACAAACATGTATTAAGTATAAAAATAAATGCTGGCTCAGTTAAGAGCTATTGATCTCTCTCTTGTCCGCCAGCCAAGTAGGGACAGAGCAGCCAAGGTTGTGTGTTCGAGTGTGTGTGTGTGTGTGTGTGTGTGTGTGTGTGTGTGTGTACATGCTAAACCTCGCTTAGGTGAGAGTTTGGGGCCTTAACGCACACAATCAATACTGAACTATCTGAACAACAGTCAATAACTCCTTGTTTAGAAACAGGAGTGCAGTTTGCTGTAAAGGGCTGGTCTGTGATGTTTCTAGGGAGGGTTTGACTAATATATCAGTCTGTCGATAAAGTCTTTTAAAAGTTCCATGGATTGGGCTCCCAAGCTGTGCAACCTTCTAAGCAGTGGCCTTCTCGTCAGAAGATTGTGAGTTTGCACCTTGGTAATTCCAAAGTAAGCAAAATTGGCTCTGCTCTTTCTAGCTGGATAAGGTGGTTTTCTCTCTCCCTCTACTGCCCAGCGGGATGCTAGCCAAAGTGAGCGCAACAGAACTGGCAGTTAGCGTTTTCTTCCAAGAATTGCATTAGCAGCCAGTCGAAAAGAAAAAAAAAAAAAAATCACATCTCAGAGGAAGCACATAGTACCCTTCACTCTCCCAGCATGGTGGCATTGTTTGATGAGGTGGGACACCTGGCTAGTAGGTGGAACAGGCATGTCTAAACTATAGAGAAAAATTGGGGAGAGTTGAAATCCTGCTCATTACAGATGGCATATTGGTATCAATGAGTATTGGTATTGGGCCGATATCAGCAGAGGGAAAATGAAATCGATCCAATCTCATAACAAATTTAGCCTGAAACAGCCCCCACTCACACTGTGTGGGGTGATGTTGTTAGCTGGGTCTGTCGTCCTTTAGGGTAGTAGAGTGTTTGAGTAGTTTGACAACAGTAACTTACTAAACTTACCAAACGTACTTTTAAACAATCAACTGAGTTAGTCAGTAATGCAATTTTTAACTAAAACTAACATTTCATCAGTGAGATGGCTAGTCTTCAATCTTTCTAAGTTCATTCATGCTACTCCACTGCTGCATTCACTCTACTAGCTTCCTGTAGTTGCCTGCATTAGATTTAAACCCCTGATGCTCGCCTGCATTTGTTGTGTTAACTTTGAAAAACAATGTAGTAACGTGGTGCCATGGTCTTCTAAGAATTCCCCCACATCAAGAGATTGTAGGCTTGAACCACAGCGATCCCACAGCTGTCCATATCTGGACGTCCAAGAGGAGAAAACGCCTGCTGGGACTGTCATAGTGACCCAGCTAGTGAAGAAACTGAGTAAAATCACTATATTGCTTACTTAACTGAGAAACAAGAAATAAGAGTTAGAAGAACTTTTGAAGTATGAGCTGGGGGAACTCTGGTGTTCTCAAGTTGAGTTGACTCAAGAAAAGCAGTGTAGTCAATTACCTTATAATGTTAAATTGAGCTGACTTCTCATTTTTCCAGTGTAGTATAATTGGATATCAGATTTTTTTAGCTCTTAAATGTCAGCACTAGGCACAAAGGGGTGTAAATCTCTGCCCTCTTAAAGGTTTGATTTGATTGGGATTCTTCTGGAAACAATTAAATGCGTCATTAAGTCCTAAATTTCACTACAATTCAATTATAAACTATTTTTAGAAATACACTGACTGACTGGAATATTTTACATGGAGTTTATGTGAATTAACTGCTGGTGCAGCAGAACATGGGTCACCAATCTTATCTAAAAAGCACCAGTGTTGCTGTGGTTTTATTCCATTCAAGCAGAAGCACACCTGACTCCACTTGATTAATCAATTGGTCTCAAACCTCAAACAGCTGATGAATTATATGAAGTGTGCTCCCGCTTGATTGGAATGAAAATCTGCAGCCACGTTGGCCCTTTGCAGATAAGACTGATGGCCCCTGTGGTAAAAGAATACAGACAATAAAACAATATAGAAATCTTCATTGGCTTTTTACAAAAATAGTCAGATGAGAGCATACTTTTTGAGCATTAATATAACAGATCATAATAAAAAAAATTGTAATGCATGCATCCAGCAGTTGATGACTCTGCTCAGTGAGACCACTCATATCACTTGCTTGCCAGAGCCAGCCCCACATGCACACAGCAGAGACCTGCTTACTGCAAAGACAGATAAGACAAAGAGACACAGAAATGGATCCTGGAGCAGAGCACATCTGCTTAGTGAAAAGAAAACACACACACATGTGCGCACATGTGCACTAACACATATCAGTGTCAGAAATAAACTCATCTACTTTCTTCTTTTTTAAGAGATAATTTTTGTTTTCTAGGAGCATTTTCGATCTTTATAACTGGTTTGTGAGATTGCGTGTAATGTATTAGCGCCTGTTCTTGACTATTTGAATATTTGAGATAATATTTTAAAGAATAAACAAAAAATTTATATAATCAATAGTTGCAGCCCTAATCACAAGACAAATATGTTTACATTTTCTGACATTCAAGTCATTAAATCAACTTGACTGGTTGTGCTGTCATCACTCAGTTCAAGCCTACTTTATACTGGGATTTTTTTTCAAGCTTTATAAAATGACAGTTTTATACAGCATGTGCTGAAGTCATCCAGTATTCACAAACACTAATTAAAGCAATTAATTGAAATAATTACTCCCTCTGTATAATCACAGCTGAGACCACATGAAATATAGAAGTGCTTTGGTGGGTTAGTTTTGCTGTGTTTGCTGATTCAGGTGTTGGAGATGGAGTGTTCTCACTGTGTTCAGTGTTCTCCACTGCCACTATAACAGAATTGATTTTCGCTTTTTTAATCAAAAAGCACTTCATGTTTCACCCGTTCCCAACCACTGGATATTTGGCCTAAGAACACTGGCCTCAGAGTCAGCAGGGATTCATTACAGAGGTGTTTATTTGGCCCAGTGTTTAAAATTTCAGGGCTATTTTTTCTTACCTTCAGGGGACCTTGTTAATTATCAGGCATTTCTGTGGAATTAGCAACTTTAATCTCTTAGACTGATCTGGAAAGGTCTGGAAAGCAGGTTTCAATCTTCAGACAGGCGTACAGCTCATACACTACAGGCCAAAAGTATGAAACAGCAAGTTTCATAAATATTTCATAAAGTTTCATAAATATTTTCAAAATCAACTGGCCAACAACTAACATGTTTACTTAAATCCATTTAACTAAAGAAGTTTTTTACAAAATATTCAGTTGGTTTGCACCTGATTCTCTTCATTAAGCTTTCAGGAACATCTGAGCCTGAAGCTTCAACAAAACTCTAAAGAAGAATCACAGGGTTAAAAACACCTGAAGGATCACTTAGTTGGACGCTACTTCTGCTAGTGTTGTAATAAAGACCATTTTAGGCGAGACCAAGTCAAGAAAAAAAAAGAAATAAAGAAAAACAATGAAAAAGTTTTCAACTAAACTTATTTCCTCCTTGGCATTTAGTTTTATTGTTAGTTTTAGTATTTTTTAGAATAGTTCTTTTTTTAGAATGTAAAATGAAAATTTTGCCCTCTTTTTTATTTTCTCAAATTTCAGTTTTTTAATGGCGTCATAATGCACTTTGAGCTGCATTTTAATGTATGAAAAGTGCTATATAAATGAAGGTTATTATTATGATCAGGGGTTTAGAAATGGGAAATGGGCCAGAATGCTCCCGTTCCAAGATGGGACAGCGTTTCGGCTCGTCTCGCGAAGGTTAGGCCACTGTCTGGCCTGCTAATGTTAGCCATTAATTTGCAAGATGGGTATCTGCATATAAAAATATCTAATGTAAAAGTAAATGGACACTGGACGCTTTTGACACTTTAGAGCACATAATGAAATACAGTAGTGGTTGTTTTGATAAATGTTTTACAATTTGTTTTGTAGTCGCTGCCTTGATGAAAAGCTTGTTTGGATTCCTGTGGGTTATGTTGCTAGTTAACAGTAGTTTCAATTAAAGTGTCAATAACTTTTAGGAGGTGTTTTTCTAAGGTGCTGTTAGTTTGATTTTTAGAAAATGTCAATACCTCTTAGTCTAAGAACCAATGAAGTTTTAAACTTTTAAAGGGCCAGATTTTATTCAATTTACCAGATTGTTCATAATAAACAGAACATCTACAGAAATGGTCTCATCTTTTTTTTAGATAAGTTTTTGGAGCTTTAAGTTGCAAATAACCTGTCTTTGTATGGGGGAATCCCCAGTGTTTAATCAAAGCATTAATGATTGCAAGATCTGAGATCTAGATATATTTGCAACAATCAGTCAAAACATACTGTTGTTGGCAACATGCAGAGCTTGACTGTGCAGAAAGTGCACTCATTTAAAGCATTTATTGTTTAATTATACAAATCCATAAATGGAAAGGTCATTTTTGAGGTGTATTTTGAAGTGAAAATGCAGCAGAAGCAGCATTTTAGGACACAACAAAACACCTTTCCACCCCTGATTATTATTATTATAATTTTAGCTTTTGGCATCAAATTATGGTTAAAATGAAAGTTAAAAGATATTTATCTGTCTATTCTGCTCTTAATCCGGTTGTATGAAATCAAATGTATTCACTGACTAGATACTGAAAGAGGATAGTACAGGTATTAGTTCTGCTGCGGCAGCAAATGTTCAGCACAGCGATTATTAGCATGAGGCTAACTTTGATAAATTCTGGTTAGCCTACTATGCAATGTGTATCATTGAGCAGAATATTTGAACAGCACTTTAGGCTAATGCAAGCTTGTTCTATAAAAGAAACCACACATCACAGCAGTAACGTGAAAGACTGCACCAGTCGCTTGCAAGTGAATCGTTGTGAGGGTGTATTTTGTAGATGCTTTTAGAGATAAGTGGCACAAACTACTGGAATTGGTGTTCGTGTGCCCACTGTGTGTGCTGAGCCTGGCTAGTTTAAAGAGCCAGCTGCACTGCATGCACCACAGTAGATGTTTCTTGTTTAAAGTAGCCTGTATAATACACAGCTAAAGTTGGTGTTTGCTGCATTATGAGATTTGTAGTGTTTATTTTATTTGCAGTGTTTACCTGTAGAGTTTAAAAATGTTGCTTTGTGGGAGTTATTGTATTTACTTGTAATGTTTAACTGTGTTGTATTATGGAAGTTGTGGTGTACACTTATACAGTTTAACAATGCTGCATTGTGGAAGTTGTTGTGTTTACTTGTTTACAGTGTTGCATTTTAGGGGCTGTAGTGTTTACCTGTAAAGTAGTACATGTAGAGTTTAACAGTGTTGCATCGTAAGAGCTGTAGCGTTTACCTGTACAGTGTTGCACAGTCAGAGTCATAGTGTCTACTTGCAAAGTTTTACAGTGTTGTATTGTGGGAGTTCTAGTGTTTACCTGTAGTGTTTTACAGTGTTGTATTGTGGGAGTTGTAGTGTTTACCATAAGAGTTCAGCAATGGTGCACTGGGCATGTTATAGAGTTTTTCTGTAGAGATTAACAGTCTCGTATTGTGGGAGTAGTAGTGTTTACTTGTAAAGTTTAACGGTGCTACACTGTAGAAGCTGTAGTGCTTACTTGTCTTGTTTAATGCGAGCGAGTAACGGTTCCAGCCAGCCCACAGTGCACTCGCAGTGAGCGTCCAGGAATGTGATGACCTGACCAGTGGAGAGGGACGCCCCCTTCAGGCGAGCACGAATTAGACCGGAGCGCTGCTCCATCCGCACAATCCGCACGGGTACCTCCAACTTCCGTACATACTGCTCCAACTGCCGCTTCAGGAAGTCTGCAAGCAAACATACAGACAGCTAAAACAAAAAATACACACTAAACAATTTTATAGATGTCTTAAATGTGTTATACAGGCAAGTATTTATATGTAGGAAGACATTTCTAAACCTAATCCTAATCCTAACTAGGGATTAGTTAGGATTATTGTGAAATCACAATTTCACAATTCACGTTATTTTTATGATAAGGATATTCATCACAATATTTACATAATATTTACAGTATTTAACACAAATACAGTGCCTAAGGCCAAACTATATGTTTTGTTGCCTTTCTAAGAAAATCAGTACACATCCTCTACAGAGAAAAAAAACTGTGTTGTGTATTTTTATGCCCAATTACTGTTTATTTGCTGAATTTAACATATTAGGAAAAATAAACAAAAGACAAAATGTGGCCTGGGCAAAGGTAATGGCATATTTCATTTTTTCTAATATGTTCAAGCTAAAGTAGATTTTTTGTAAAAAATAAAAGATGCAGCATTACTAAATCAGGAGAAAGCAAAACATGCTAAAATATGGTGTGATGATGCAAGTCACCCTGTAAAGTCTGAGGTAAAAGCTTTTCAGACCACACCATGTCTTTAAGTATTAACGTCACAGGCTCAAAAACATGTTCCGGCTTGATGTTTAAATCTCAAATGCAAAATCAGCATTATACTGATGAAGATGGTAGATGTGGCATATTCGAAGACTCTTTCAATGCACTCGCAATGATCAGATTCATCAGTTTGGGGAAGCACAACCGTCATTACAAAATTTTCTTCTGCACATTGCATTAAATTACCAGAGAGGTGCTGTGACATGAGACAAGGACTTGCATATACCCAGCTCCAGTCTATCCTACCAGATATAGCAGCAGCCTATGGTACAAAAGCCAGAACTGGGCATTTCCATAATTGTAGGACTGGGTAAAAGGTGATCATTTGGGAACCTTCCAAGGCCTTGGGCCAGACTGAGAGCAACTCTTGCTGACATCATTAAGATGTGACGATGGACACTATCTTTGTTGACTGAATCTCGCCAATGACAATGGGTTCAGTTTTGTTTCTGAACCAGTCCAAGTCTGCATTTCAATAGTTCTGATTTGTAATGATGAATCAGCAATTGAATATGTAGGGCATCTAATGTACATATAGTTTGCATAAAGCTATAATTGTTCTGATCAAGTCTGTGTTAGTTGAGGAAGATCCCACACCCCCACTCTCTCTCTCTCTCTCCCTCTCTCTCTCTCTCTCTCTACGCAAGAGTTTTGTCCATTTTTTCTTTAGGTTTTATATGATGTTTCCTTTTTCATGTTTCTGTAGTCCTAAACACTTTTTTTCTTATTAAATTTATAATCTATTCTACTTTCAAAATTCAATGTGTTGCATTCTCTTTTTGGTTTTTGGGGTATACTGCATCACAGAAATTATGAATGATGTTTTTTATCTTAGTCATGCTGTCTTAAAAAAACAAACAAACAAACACACAAAACATTCCTAAAACATCAGGACATTTTGTGTCATGGAAATGTATAAAAACACACACACACCCACACATACATAAAGGCAATCATATAGCCATAAAGCCAAAAGTACAACAAGTTGGTATACTGTGCAAAATCCATTCTGTGTACCACAATTTTCCTTCATATCAAGAGCACAATTTCTCTCACATACAGCAAAGCACAACTAAGAGAGCCTCTCACTGGCCAATATACGTGTACACACACACACACACACACACACACACACACACACACACAGCACAGCTTAGTCAAACAAGGGGCGAGTACACAGCCTGTAACGATAAACGCTTTGACAGGAGGTACATTTGCTCCTCTCTCACTCTCTCTCTTTTATTCCTCTCATGCTGAATTGGAGCTGTAACAGGTGGAACGAAGTCTTCACTGTGAAGGATGATCAGGGGGATTTGTCATGCCAATGGTCATGACCCAGAAGTCTGAGAGACAGAAAGAGAGGAAAGGGAGGGAGAGTATATTGACAGATTCAATAAGGCTCTAGGACTTACCAACCTTTCTCTCACTCATCTGTCATTTTTGCTGTATATCTAATACTATCATTTTCTGCCAAATGCCTAATAATTGTCATTTTTGCTGAATAGCTAAATACCTAAAATAGTGACATTTTTGCCTAACCTCACATCCAATTTGGCGGTTTTTCACTGAATGGGGCAGTACAAGATACACATCACAATATTTTGACACAGACAAAATGTGCTAGTAGTGTCACATTTAAAAACAGCCATTAAAACTATGAATACAAAGATTATTAAACAGTTTACATATCATACTGCACACATCCAATTAAACAGTCCTAATGATGCTCTCTTTGTAATGAGCAATACAGCTGGTCAGTGTTCACTGAGTACTAATGCTATACACGAAATGCCATATTGTAATATTTCCTTACCTCTACCCATGATCATGCATTTTGTGGCCACTTCCACTTCCAAGTGAACCCTACCACACCATACTACACTCTTAAAAAAGATGGTTGTTCAAGGGTTCTTTAGCAAAGAAAATGGGTCTATACAGAACCAAGAACACTCAGAGAACCCTTTGCATGAGGGTTCTTTGCATGGTGAAATGGTTCCTCTATTGTTACAGGCTTGAGATTGTTATAACACAGCAGAACCCTCTTTGGTGCTATAAGAACCAAAAATGGGTGACACTTTATTTTGTGTGGTCCTTTTTAAAATAAACAAACACTCAACGGACTCTCAGAAACACATGAGGGTTTGGATTAGGTTTTGGGTTGAGGTTAAGGTTAGGGTTAGGATTAGGGCCAGGGTTAGGGTTTGGGTAGGGTTGGGTAAGGTTAGGTTTTGTGTAATGATATATGATATATGAAAGCATTTACCTTTACTAAAGAACCCTTGAAGAACCATCTTTTTTAACACATACCATGACCACTCTTTCTAAAAAACACTAGCTAGCCAGAACTGCTATCTGTGACTCTTCAAAAAGCAGAGTAAGAGGGTTCAGATTAGCAAGTGTACTGCGCTGTACCGCACTACCCATTAGAACAACACCTATAAAGACTTTTTGCCAAATAATGCAAGAGCGCAGTATTCCGTACAATATTTTGGCAGTTTTCGTCTCTTACAGTAGATATTCTGGAAATACTCCAAATACAGGTTGTAATAATTAGTTGGACTCAAAATGTGTTTAGATCGGTCATATCTGGGCTAATACTTTTAAACTGATGTGAAAAAAAATCAACTGTGTGGGTCAGTTTGTGCCGTCAGTATAATGCATACCTTCTAGCATAGAAGGAACAGATTTTCAATGACATAAACAGGAAAAGTTGCATGTATACTAAATACTGTACTATTACCCAATAACTAAATAGTGTCAGTGCTTTTATTCATGAGTCATGAGTAATGACTTTTTTAGAAGGTCAAGGGTCAGATATTCAAAGGCATCGAGAACACACAAGCTGTTTGAGTTGCAATGAGTGTGATGCACCCCTGGAAACTTTCTGACCTGCCATGCAAAATGAAGCCATGGGAAATGTTAAAATTCAGAGGGCCTTAACACCAAGACTGCCGGGGCTACTAAAAGCCCTGGCGGCATAGCTGAGTGTGTCTCTAACAATGTTAGAGTTTCAAGTGATAGTTTGACCAAATTTTGCTTCTTTAGTTTTGCTAGAAAGGTAAAATTTCTTTATTTTATTTGCATCGCACTTTGTACAACAGACTAATGTAGCTAACACGCAAGTGAAGCTTATATTGCACCAGTCAGCATTGTACAAACTGTGCAAATCATCACATACTTGTCTCAAATCCTACTAAGTTGTTGAGCAAAGTATGGCAAACCACTGTCCACAGAGATTAACAAAAGCACAGAACATAAGCAAGTCTATGTGAGATTATGTAAACACTTGACAAGATTTGAGGCAAATGTGTAAAAGTTTAAGCATGCTGTTTGTATGATGCTGATTGGTGTGGTATAAGCTTCCATTACTTCTAAGCTACATTAGCCTTGTATCTCCAATGCAAAACTAAAGCAGCAAACTTTAGACACCAAACATGTTTGGCTAATTTAGAGTAAAAGGAACAAAGCAAACTACTGTTTCAAGTAACAGTGTGGCCTGTAGAAAGCCTTTATTTAATCACAGACATAAAGCATTTGCTATTGAGGTGTACACACTCATCCTTAGGTTCGCACCGTTGTGGAGCTGTGGCGGCAGGACTGTTTAAACTGTCGCTCAGTAAACAGTTTTCACCCTTCAAATGTCTTTCTACTTACAATGAAAGGAAAAATAAAGGCCTTTTATCAGGCTAAGCTGAGAGCTAGACTGGAGGCCTTTATCTCTCCCCAGGAGCGAAAGCCTATGGCAGAGAAAAGAAGGAGAAGAGAGGGAGGGAGAGAGTGACCGAGAGAAGCATTGTTGTCTTGTCATGCACCTATGCTGCGTTGAGAAAACAGTTTGTTGTGTCCCGCTGGTGAAATGCGCGTGTCAGTGACCTGAATGACAATCGAAAGTCACTGTGGGATGTCTGTCAATACGTTTACAAAATCTCTCTGTTTTATTCCACAAAACTTACAATGTAGGTCTTTAGCTGCTCCACTTGAAACAGATAAAATATTGAAAGCTCATACAGTGTTCTCATACAGAAGGAGAGAGTGGGTCAACACATTTTGGATTTTGTGTGATCATTTGAAAAGTATCTGTGCAAGACCATTATTTCTTTTTATACAAGCAACCTACAGATTAGAGGTTGAGCTGTGCACATGAGACTTACGCAATTGGCTGTTTAGCTGAATGGTTAAGTAACTTGTTCTTCACACAAAAGAGCAGGGTTCAAGCCTGGCTGCAAGGAAGCACTCGTTGGGCTTGTAATGCTACGTTCCCATCAATCTAACATAAATGTAACTTTAGCGCTGCCTGTGTGAGGTAATTTGATCAGTTCTGTCATTACAGCCCTTGTATTTTTACAGTATAAAGCAGTCGTCAAGGTCTATCTCGAGAAATATGTATCCAATAGC